GGAAGGAGGAGAAAACCCTTTAGAGAGAAGATCAAGGAAGAAGAAGTTTAACTTTCAATCCGAAAGTTTAAGGCAAGTTTTTCTTCTATCTCTTTCCCTTTGATTCGTATTTCTGTACATGCCTAGGAAATTCCAGGATTTATTAAACACATAAAATTAAATAATTATGCATGTTTAGTTGGGTTAGAACATATGTTTTATGAAATTGGTTCATATCTGTTCTTGTGTTATGAATTGATAAAATGCATGATTTTGATTTAATTTCTTATGTGAATTTTTACATGTTTAAATTATGTATTTTTCATATATGTGGAATGATGGAACATAGAAACATGCCTAGGATTCCTGAACATTAAATAGGGACTAGGTTTGGGTTTTAATAAATTTAAATAGACTCAATCATAATGATGCTTGCTATTTGAATGTTTTAAACAAACGAATGGATTTAATCTTTTAAAATATTTTAGCAATTGAGATTAAATGTGTAGGATGAATTGGATATAGAGAATTCTTATTTAACGGTATAATAAAATATCATCATGTATAAGATTCAGTTTGTATAGCACATATGATATAGGAAATTTAAAAAAATAATAAGTCATTCCTATTATGTGATAACTTGATATCATATTTATCATAGTTATTTATGGAATGTTTGATGTATTTCCTTAATTGTTACATCAATTATTGGATTGTGTGGTTTAATGCACCGGTATAGGACGGTGGCATTCTAGGGATGGATTAACTTATCAGTTAAATCCTACCTATTTTATATAAGGGAATGGATTAACAAAAATGTTAAGTCCTACTTATATTTAAGTCAGGCCTGCTGAACAAGTTGAATGACTTATGGAGGATTAATTTATTATATAAGGGAATGGATTAACTAAAATGTTAAGTCCTACTTATATTCAAGTCAGGTCAGCTGAACAAGTTGAATGACTTATGGAGGATTAATTTATACTGGATAGGATGGTTACTAGATTTTATATATATAAGTATGGTGCCATGATATGAGCTTGAGTCTCGGGATCAATGGTTAGGGCGCGTATATCGCCAGGGATGTGTACCTAGATATAATGTAGTTATGTACCCTGGTAGGTCTAGGTACTCATGCCCACTATATGTGCGTTTTGCATGTTGCCTACTAATCAGGTTGAGACAACCTTATAGTCTAGTGAGGTTCCTTTAGTGTGTATACATATATATATACGGACTACTAGTTACTGTTGGATTGACTAGGATGTATACGTGTATCGGATCTCTGCTTGGACTGTAGTAGAGTAAAACTTGTTTGTGGGCCTGACCCACCATTATTTTTCAGGTGTTCGTCACGAGTAGAGGTTGTTCGTGCTGAGCGGGGATCAATCTACTTCATTCTTCCGATGCTACATAGGAGTTCCTTTATGATTCAGTTTCCTGTTTTAGATTACTGTCATTTGTTTAGTTTGGATTTTTTAGGGGTCCACACAGTATGGATTCCCGAGTTGTATTTTGGAGGATCAGTTGTATCAGAAGAGTTTATTAATTAATGGAAATATATTATGAGGTTTATTATTAGATTATCATTTTAGTTTCTTGTCAGCATTTTATTTATTCTTCTTTATTCTTTTGTACTCTGTGTTCGTTTATTATCAATTTGTTTTGATATCCTCGGGTATTCGGGCGTGGGCCTGGCCAACCCGCATTCGGAAATGCGGGGGTATCACAGTGCCAACTGCCACTTATTTGCTTAGGTGCCTGGCGCTTGGCTAGAATGCCACTTGCCACTTGGCCTTTTATTTTTCTTAGCAAGTGTCTGGCGTTCGGCTCATAGTGCCAGCTGCCACTTATTTGCTTAGGTGCCTGGCGCTTGGCTAGAATGCCATTTGCCACTTGGCCTTTTATTTTTCTTAGCAAGTGTTTGGCGTTCGACTCATAGTGCCAGCTGCCACTTATTTGCTTAGGATTTTAGAGAGGAGTGCAATCCTTATAAATCTCAGAAACTCATACATTCAACTGTTTTCAATTTAAAATAAATAGAATTCAGTACTGAATCTCAATTTTTTATTGATAATACCTCTTTAGAGAAGTAGCATTCCAAGGCTTGTTAACCAGCCTTCCGGCCATGGTTTCTAAGGTATATACGCCTTTTCCTATGGCCTCTGTAATTCTGTATGGGCCTTCCCATGGTGGCATCATCTTTTTGACTATCCCTATCTTCTTTTTCAGGACCAGGTCACCTGGCCTAAAGTCTCTGTGCTTTACTTTCCTGTTATGGCTGTTCGCGAGCGTCTGCTGGTAAGATGCGAGCCTTACCGCTGCTGCGTCTCTTTTTTCTTCCAGCAAATCGAGGTTAAACCTTAGCATACTGTCATTATGCTCACGGTTCCATGCCAAGCTTCGAACACTCGGAACTAAGTGCTCGACTGGTATAACTGCCTCGGTTCCATACGCCATGGTGAATGGGCTTTCTCCGGTCGGTCGTCTAAGGGTCGTTCTGTAGGCCCATAAGACGTTCGGCAGTTCATCTAACCACCTTCCTTTTCTTTCCTCTAGTTTCTTCTTGATACAAGTAAATATTGTTCTGTTTGTAATTTCCGCTTGTCCATTGGCCTATGGGTGACTTACTGCTGCCAGCTTTTGATTAATTCCATATTCCTCCAACAGCTCTCTTACTTGCTTACTGTCAAGGTTGGTACCATTATCCATGACGATTGACCTCGGAACACCAAACCGGCAAATAATATTACTCTAAATGAATCGTCTCACATGAGTTTGAGTAACGCTCGGATATGGCTCTGCTTCCACCCACTTAGTAAAGTAGTCTATAGCCAGTAACACATACTTGTTCTGAGCTCTGGCAGTTGGTAGAGGACCAACTACATCCATCCCCCATTGTGTGAAAGGCCATGGTGTGGCCATTACATGCAAGTCTTCAGGTGGTTGGTGAATCAGTGGTCCGAACCTTTGGCACTTATCGCACCTTCTGGACAATTCTTCCGAATCTCGCGACATGTTTGGCCAGAAGTACCCTTGAGCCATTGCCTTGTGTGCTAATGATCTCCCCCCTGAGTGGTTTCCACATACGCCTTCATGAATAGCTCGTAATATTTGCCGAGCCTCTGTGGGGGTAACACACTTTAAGTACAGTCTGGAAAAAGATCTTCTGTATAACTGGTTATGCACTATGGCGTACTTGGCAGCATTAGTTTTGATTTTCCTAGCCTCATTTCTTTGTTCAGGCAGAGTACCATCTCGGATGTAAGTTATGATCGGATCAATCCAACTTGGCTCATATGGAATAACATTCACTTGCCAAGGATCCGAGCCTAAAGGTTCTTCAAAAATGGATGGCTGATTTAATATTCCCACTGGAACCACTCTTGCCAATGTTTCTCCAGAACCCGAGGTGCTACATGCTAGCATATCGGCATCTTCGTTATACTCCCTTGGAATCTGAATGAATTCAATTTTTTCAAAGTTTTTTGCCTCCCGCATAACTGCAGAACGATATGCTTCCATCGTTTCATCCTTGGTTTCATACTCACCCCTCACCTGCCGAACGACTAACTGTGAGTCACTAAAAACATTTAAATTCCTGACCTTAAGTTCTTTGGCAAGCTTTATTCCTGCCAGCAAAGCTTCATACTCTACCTCATTGTTCGTGGCTGCGAATTCAAGCCGAAGCGCTTGGCTTAAGGCTGTACCTTCTGGTGTCTGCAGCTTGATCCCAATGCCTGCACCCATCTGATTTGAGGATCCATCAACGAAGGGTTTCCATAAGCACCTACAAAGATCCTTCTCCACGTCCTCTGAATCACATTCTAGTAAAAAATCTGCCACCGCCTGCCCCTTGACCGCTGTTCTAGGTTCGTACGTGATATCAAATGAGCTTAACTCTATAGCCCACTTCGTCATTCTTCCGGAGAGATCTGGTTTGTGCAGGATTATTCTGATAGGGAAAGTGGTTGGAACGATAATAGGATGGGACTCAAAATAATGCCTGAGCTTTCTTTTCGCATGCACTAGCGAGAGTATCATCCGCTCTGCCTTTGAATAACGTCTTTCGGCCTCAGTCATTGTCTTGCTAACATAAAACACTGGATATTGTTTCCCGTCTGCGTAGCGGACCAGAACGCCACTTGTCGCGATGCTGGACACTCCGAGATACAAAAACAGTTTTTCGCCCAATTCTCGAGCGGACAGTACCAGAAGGTTCTGCATATATTTTTTTAGAGCAGTTAATGCTAGGCGTTGTGCCTGCCGTGGCTCCGGATTGTGTCAAAAAATGGTTTGCATCGATCTGACAATTTGGAAATGAAACGGCTCGGTGCAGCAATCCGTCCCGTAAGTGTTTGCACCTCTTTGATTGTCGTCGGCTCGGCATTCTTAGTTAGAGCATCTGCTTGGGCAGGGCTTGCCTCGATGCCTCTGAGATTAACCACGTGCCCTAGGAATTGGCCTGAACTTACACCGAACGAGCACTTGGTCGGATTGAGCTTTATTCCATATCGCCGCAAAACATCAAACACGCCTCGAAGATGCTGCACATGATCAGCTTTCTTCTTACTCTTGACCACCATATCATCAATGTAAGCCTCCACTGTCTTCCCTATTTGTTCCTTAAAAATCTTGCTAATAAGTCTTTGGTAAGTTGCCCCGGGGTTCTTTAGTCCGAACGGCATAACTTTGTAGCAATACGTCCCGCGTTCAGTAACGAAAGAAGTTTTTTCTTCATCAGCGGGGTCCATGGGGATCTGATTATAACCCGAATAAGCATCCAAAAAGGTCAAGCGTTCAAATCCAGTAGTTGCATCCACCATCTGATCAATCTTTGGCAGCGGGAAGCTATCCTTCGGACAAGTTTTGTTTAAATTGGTAAAATCAATGCATACGCGCCATTTCCCATTTTTCTTTTGCACAACGACCACATTCGATAGCCAGTCGGGGTAGTACACTTCTCTTACGAACCCCGCATCAAGCAGCTTATCAACTTCCTCGGCAATAATTCGGTTGCGCTAGGGGGCAAACCGTCGCTGCTTCTGCTTTACAGGTTTTGCATTGGGGTTAACATTCAAGGAATGACAGGATACCGAAGGATCGATCCCGGGCATGTCTAGGTGACTCCATGCGAACACATCTGCGTTTTGAGACAAAAAATCAACTAAGTCCTGCTTTTCCTCCTCAACGAGTCGCTCCCCTACTCTGGTTGTTCGTTCTGGTCGGAACTGATCGATCTGCGCATCAAGTAGGGGTTCTTCAGTCAAGCCTACTGGTTCCTCCTCTCCATTCGGCTTGGAGGGAGGCTCCTGTAATTGCTATCTCAGACTTACTGAACGAATGGGAGCTTTCCCCTTTCCAGCATGTTTCATCGTTACAGAGTAACATTCTTTTGCTGCAACTTGGTCTCTATGAATGTCAATCACTTTGGTTCCGTCTGGTGCCAAGTATCTCATTACCTGATGCAGAGTGGAAGGAACACCTCGAACTCTGTGGATCCACCCTCTGCCCATCAGAAGATTGTAAGAGGGATGAATTTCAACAACTACAAAGGTTTCCATCAAAACCCTCTCGGCAGCATGTACCGCTACCTCCACCGTGCCGACCGGCTCCACTCGCTTTCCATCAAACCCTACTAGTGGATTCCCGATGGATTTCAACTGATCCTGTTTAATCTTGAGCCGATCGAATGTATCTCTTGGCATGATGTTCGCACTACTTCCAGGGTCAATTAGAACTCTGCGCACCAAGCATTTGGCCAGTGTCAAACTTACGACCAATGGGTCCTCATGAGGGATCTGAACACGCAACAAGTCTGCTGCGTCAAACTTTATCTGCGTTGATGCGCTCTGCTGGTGTAGGGTGTTTACACTGCCTATCCTTCTCTTCATCCGTGCCTGACGAAGGCGTGTTCGAAGCAATTCATCTTATTCCTCAGCAGGTTCTGGCCGACCGTGAATTGCATTAATTACTTGAACTGGTTGCGTGTTGTGAGAATTCGACTTCTGATTCTTCTTCACATGCTCTATTGGCCGGTTCTGCTCCACCGCTGGTCCTTGAATATAACTTGCGAACTCCCCTCTGGCTATCAGCATCTCTACCTGTCTCCTTAGGTTCCTGCATTCGTTAGTCTGGTGGCCAAAATCAGAATGAAATGCACAGTGTTTAGACTAATCCCTCTGTTCGAGAGGTTGTCTGATTGGTAAAGGAGGCCGGAACTTATCTTTATTTTCTTGGTACAGTCTTGCTAGGGTAACTTTCAATGGAGTAATCAGCTCTTCCTCTCTAGGCCTCTTCTCGGATTTCCACGATGAGCGTTGCGGTTAGACCTGTTTTTGCCTGATCTTTGCTTTGGTCTTTTCTTCCGTGGATATAACGGATGTCTTCCGAGCGTTTGCCGCCTCTTCTTCTTCCAAGCGCACAAATCCATCGGCTCTTTCGTTAAGTTCATCCATAGTCCTCGGCGTGTTGACCACCAAGCTTGTGTGGAACGGGGTGCCACGATTCATAGCCAGAATGAATGCTTGAACTGCCGTTGAAGGGTGACATTCAATAACCATGCTCTTGGTAAGGTTAAACCTGGTTAGGAAAGCCTGGAGATGCTCTTCAGCGTGTTGCTTCATTGTGAATAAGCTCAAAATATCTTTTGCTAGACGCTTGTTTCCATAGTATTGGCTTATGAACCGATCGCACAGGCTTTGGAAACTATCCACCGAACCCCTCGGCAGGTTCTTGAACCAATTCAGAGCTGGTCCGGCTAGACTCGTAGGAAAGCACTTGCACATCAAAGAATCATTCTCAGTGTTTAGAGCAATTTTCAGCTGGATGTGATACACATGATCGATCGGATCAGTCGTTCCGTCGAATAGAATGAAAACGGGCATGGAAAATTTCCTCGGACTCGGAGCATTCAGAATCTCATCGGTGAACGGTGAATCCACCGTTCGAGCTACTGAACGGAGTGCTTCATTTTCCCTCTGGAACCCGTGGCTGCTCTCTGGTCTACTGATCTCCTCTCTGAGCTGTGATAGTCGAACGTCGTCATGGAAGGCCGATAGGTCGGATCGAATGATCTATCCTCAACGAAGTCCTTGCGCCATGGAGGCATAGCTTTCTGACGAATCAACTCTGTTGCTTCACCTCGGCTGAGCGTTTCTTGATGTGGATCAAAAGTCATTGCTTCATTTCGCCTGATCTGCTCACGCCGTGGATCCATGTGAATCGATCCTTCACGATCATCCATATGACGAAGATTTGGCCATCTCGCCGTATTTCCTCGCGGTGAGGATCTACTAGATTGTTTTCAACCTCTTCACCGTGATGTGCTGCATCGGTACGTGCACCTTCTTCTCCTACCGGAAGTGGTCGTGGAATTACTGGAGCTTCTTGACGCTGTATTTCATTCCTTAGATCTGCATTCTCTCTTCGGAGAGCTTCGATCATGTTCATCAACTCATCAAGTTTCACTTGCTGGACGTTCTCAACCGTATTAGAGTTGTCACCCCCTATCATGATTCCGGATCGAAGCAAAGGCACGAATTACGAACTTCGAAACAAATCTAAGCGTTACCGATGCAAACTCCGCTAGATCTGGACTTAACTTTACCGAATTGTGATCGCTGTTTGCTAGATCTAAACTTTTCTAGCTTCAAACTCGTCGGATCTGACTGCAACTGAGCAAATCACAATTGCGTCCTTCCAAAGCAAATGCCTCAGAATCCACAATAAGCAAGAATTCTCTCGGAACAAACTACAATCTCATTGATCTGGATTCAACTTCCAGAAGTCATACTGCATATTCACAAACTCGATTGAACTAATATGGTACTGATCGGGCTCGAATTGATCTTCGTCATCGTTTCCCACAGACGGCGCCAATTGAAGATACAAGATTTCGTTTCTTCTCTCTCTCTCTCTCTCTCTAGCCTTCTCCCCACTTTCCACTCGTCATGGTCTATTTATAGGCCATGACCTTTTTTGTAGTTAACCAATTACATTGGGCTTATATCCAAAAGCTCTCTTCCTTCTGGGCTGGGTCTTGCAATGGGCTTGACCTTCCTCGGTGGACCCCCTACGTTCGGCCCATTCCAGGGTGCTTTGGCATGGATCCTATTTCAATCATTCGACCCGATCTCGTTTCTGCGATCCATATCCGGCCCATGCCACTTGCCGCATCCTCAGGTTAGTTTAGGTTTTTTTTTTTCAGAAAAAAAGTAGAAAATTATAACAATAAAAGTGATTTATATATTAATCTGGTTCGTTTAATTTAGTTTTCTAAAAACAAAAGAAAATATATATAAAAGACTACTTTAAAATAAAAAGATTTTTCTAAAAAAAATTATTGTTTAAAAACTATCCACCAAACAATTTTTATAAAAATAAATATATAAATGAAATTGTTCCATTAAATTATTTCTTATTTCAGTTGTCCGAGTTGATAGTCTGTTCATTTCTCCCAAAACCAATTATGTATTGATTTCTATGATATTATTTGAATTATTTAATTTGCTTGTCATATGAAAATTATAAATTTTGGATATGGTATGTGTGTAGCATAGGAATTATTGGTTAACTAGTTCAATCAGAAGCATATGGGCCTGTAGGGCTGCAAGTTGGGCTGGCTCAACTCAGCCCAGTCCCAACCCAACTTTAACCCGAATGGGGTTGGGTTAGGTCAACCCATATTATACTTAACATGAGTTATAGTCATAATTCGAACCGAATATTTTCGAACGGGTCGGGTTGGGTTACCGGTTGAGTTTTTTAAATATATTTTATAGTTTTTTTTTTTTTTTTTTTCAAAAATTTATATATATTTGATTATATTATTACTAAAAACAAAATATTTTAAGGGCAAATCATTTAGCCTCCCCAATTGCCTCCTTCTCTGATCTCATTCTCAACCACTTTAGTATATAAAATATTAGAGTAAAATATATATTTTTTACAACAAGAATGTTAAAGATAATATATTTTTTTAGTAGTTAGAGAAGAAAGGATAAGGATCTTCGCACAACAATCCAATCATTATAATATTATCATTAATGTACCAATCTATTGTAATTTATTACTAAGTAAAAGACATCTTAAGAAAATAACAAATTTTACTGGATTATGGTTTTAACTTTGCAAAAGGCATATAAATAGTGATGGTATTTTGGACCAATAAAAATTGAATATTCAAGTCTCATGATCCGACTCACAACTTCAAGAGTTAATCCTAGCCGTCCTTACTAGTTAATAAAACACTACGTACTACTGTTCATGCAAAACACGAATTGTCATTTTCAACTGGCCATTCACATTTACTCCCCCCCCAAAAAAAAAAAAAAAAAAACTATATTTTTAGGGCAAATCATTTCAGCCTCCCCAATCGCCTCCATCTCTATACTCGTTCTCAACTCTGAACTTGTCCCCCATCCTCCACCCCTCTCTCTCTCTCTCTGTGCAACTGCAAACTACAAAATCTACAAGAATCAGAAGTTCAAAACCCATATATTTCAGTTTATCTATCTGTCTGCAAGAATCAAAAGTTCAAAACCTATTACCTATATCAAAACCCACATCATTTCAGATTGTTCAAAAAATCAAAACCCATATCTTTCAGTTTCCATTCGCCCGCTGTTCCAGTACGGGTTCGCCGTTCGCAAGCTTCAGTTGCTGGCCCGCTGTCTCTCAACTCTCAAGCTTGCCCCCCTCCCTCTCCGCAACTGCTAACTTGTATGTATGGGATTTTTTTTTTTTTTTTTTTCCTCTCTCTAAATCAACTAATCAAGGTCTGTTATTCTTGTATTGCAAACTAAATCCTATTTGGTGAAATTTTTTTGATCTTTTTTAAATATATATATTTTTTACAATATAAAGTAACAAAATTTGAATTGCATTTTGAGGTAATCATTGCATTGAATTTTGAGGTAATCACTGTAATCTACATTTTATTTCAGCAAAACAAATATTTTTTTAAAAATTTCTATAACTTCTATTTCTGTTTTTTATTATTTTTTATTTTTATTATTTTTTTAAATTATGTCTACAAGAAAATTTGAATCTGGGCATAAAAAAAAAAAAAGAAAAAGGAATCTGGATTGGATTGAATTGGATTAGAAATCTGCAGCGATTGAATCTGAAACAATTTTTATCAACATGCCAGGCTTTTTGAAGATGGAAATCTTTTCAGAACTAAAAAAAAAAATCATAACAAGAACTTTGACAAGCAAAATTACTTAATATAGGGTAAAGCTCTAAAGTTACTTCTTGAAAATTAAAATACTTACAAAAAGCGTGCTTTTAAGTGAATTCCACAGTGTTGGAAGGGGCTTGCCATGAACTACCTCACACTCTGCTTCCACTAGTAGATTCTCAAATAGGATTAGTAAATTGGTCAAAAGAAGAGATAGATAGGGTACTGAGTGGTGAATTGTTCAGAAATAAATTGGTAATTTTTTATTTTATTTTATTAATTACCCAAATAGGATTTTCTATGCCTTAATCAGTCAATTGTCTACAGGTTTAGTTAACTAAAATTGAATTAAATAACAGTTGATTTTGGTTGATATATTTTGATTTAGTCACTGCATTGAGAAATCCTGATGTTTTGTTTCACATAAAAATACAATTTGTGTAATGCACGAAGGATATATTCAATCTTTCTGCAATATTTTTATTTACAAATTTTGGTTTTTGATTTTCTTTTGTTATTAGAATGCAGAATATCATGATATTGATTTGTTAATTTTGAAGATTATTCCTAAACTGATGCATTGTACTTTGTTATTGGATTAATTTAACATAAGAGATGAGTATAATATGTGTTAATCATACTTATTCGTAATCACACCTCTTTCTACGGATAGGTGTCCAACATTTTTGCGGAAAGCATAGTTGGGGTGGG